TAGCCTTGCAGGACTTGGAGGACAGGGGGATTTGAGGTTGTGCCTTTCAGGACTTGGATGACATGGGGAATTGAGGTGATGACCTCCCAGCCTTGCAGAACTTGGGGGTCATGCTTCCTAGTCAGGCTCAGAATGGAGGGCATTTCGGAATTCCTCCTGGACAGAAGGTTGGAATGGGAAAGGGAGGGGGGAATGGCGGATTTCCCCAAAAACTTGTGGATGGGATACACCCCTGTACCAGTAATCCCTCCCCTCCAGTTTGATGTGATTCAGGTCCGTAGTTCCTACTTACTGAACACACTTGCTAATCACTTCTTTTCAAAAGAACCACCAAAAAACTAGTGTCAGGAAAGAGTGGTTCTTTTGCATTTGCCTTGTTTTATCATGATTGAAACTGAGTGCAGTCGGTTTGGAACCAGTTTCAAGTGGGAACGACAGACATGTAACCCGACCAGCAATTCATTTAAAATCATAGTGGGAATGAGGCCTCACTAGACAGTCCTTTGTCCTCACCCAGCAGGGACTTTCTTCGGTTCTTATTTCATTATATTCATGCCCATCAGTGGCAGTTGGTGGATGCTATATCAGCAGGGTAGTGAACTCACTCTGGATTTTATTCCGTACTATCTTGGTTCTGAGCCTAATTTAGAGGAAAGCTATTGGACTAAAACCCAGAGCAAATTCACTATCTCACTGACATGCGAGATATCAGAAGCCACTATACAAGTCTGAACAAGTCTTGCCAAGAAATCCCCAAGAAAATCTTAGGGTTGCATAAGTCAGAAATGACTTGAAGGTACACAACAACAGCTTGTACCCAACTACACACACACACACATACACTGACATCCAAAGTGCTCTGACCTCCTTTCTGTCTTGCTACCTGTTATGCTTGGATCTGCTTCCTTGAGGCCTGGTGTGATACAACCCCATTTATCCTTTAAATCCCACTTGTTCCTACCTTCAAAACCTCCTTCAAAACCCACCTTTTCTACAAGACTTTGGCGCCATCCTTATGCCCCATGTGACATACTTTAACTAGGCCCATCCAAGTACTAGCCAGGGCTGACCCTGCTTAGCTGCCAATATCAGATGGGACCTGGTGTCTTTAGATCATGGGGTTGCCATAAGTTGACAAACAACTTGAAGTCACATACACACACACCATTAGGCCAACTGGAGTTAAGTGTCTATTCTTCCTGTGTTTACTAGCATCTCCATTTTCTTTGTTGTCTCTCCCGTGAGGAATTTTAGAATCATACATAGAACTGGAACCATAGAATCATAGAATTGGAAGAGACCTCAAGGGTCACCCAGTCCAACTTTCTGCCATGCAGCAACTCACAATAAAAGCACCCCCAACAGATAGCCATCCAGCCTCTCCAAAGAAGAAGACTCCATCACACTCCGAGGCTGCATATTCCACTGTCTGATAGCTCTTACTGTCAGAAAGTTCTTCCTAATGTTAAAGTGGAATCTCTTTTCCTGAACTCTCCCTAGAAATGAAAGTGATCAAACTAAGAGCCTTTGCAGGCTGCCAGAAATAATGCAAGTTGAGTCCACTTTAAGGGTTAGGGTTAGTGCTAGGGAATCATGGGAACTGTGTTTTTTTTCCTGAGACACTGTGTCTTCTCTGTCAGAGAGCTCTAATGCCACAATAAAATACAGTTCCCATGATTCCCTAACCCTAACCCTTAAATGGACTCAATTTGCACCATTTCTAGCAGTCTGCAAAAGCCCTGAGTCTAATGTACTTTGACCATGTCCTGAGAAAACAAGACTCATTTGGACTGCAAGTTCCTTAGAATGGGAACCTGGCCTCCTGGACTTTATGATGGTGTCCAATAAACAAACAAACATATGCATTATGACACTTGCAGTTCTGCAAAAAGAGCTTGGAAATGCTCTGTATTGGTACTGCATCTTCCAGAATCCCCTCTGCCAACATGGCCATGGTCATGATGACTGCAGGACTCTGGAAGCTAATCCCCAGAACGTAACATTGCCAAGCTTTGACTGAAGTAAAGGCTGCTTAGGAGAATAGGTTGTTTGCCTACTCCAGCTTTTTTAAACAGAAACGCCTAAATCCCTTTAGTGGTTCCTCTGCAGGAGGCAAACTGGGGGCAAAGGAAAAGTGTAGGCCTCTCTTGATACATATTAGACATAATTAACCTAATACAGAACATGTCTAAACAGATCGCTTGTTACTCATTTTTTTTAAAAAAAAAAAACATTTGTAAGAGTCCTATTTAAATTGTAAATTGACAGTGCTTATGTATGCAATTTTATTTTTCTTCACAGCTGCCAGATGGTGTGGAGCAGATGATTTTCTGCTGATGATGATGAAGGGCTGAATTTTAAACAGCTGAGAACAGAGCACTATGAACAGCCTTCTCTACCACCACTAGCACTACTACTCCTTTTATCTTTGACTAAAAGCAATAGGTATCCATTTGATCCCGGCATTGAGCTACCACAAAAACCTGGAAACTAATCCTTCCTTGTTTGAGCTGTTGCCTGAGGCATCTGCCAAAACTGGTAGAAGGGGAGGTTGGTTTCCTTTCATTTGCTTCACTTGCTGTTCAGGAACCATTTCAGGAGACCAGTCATATAACCAAAAGCTATAATGTCAGCTCAGAAATAAATTGACACAGAATTATGCAGCTCCCTTGTGGGCTGTAATCCTAAGACATGATCCTTCTGGGAAGTAGGCCAATGATTTTGACTGGTGTCATCTCTCTGGAGAATCCGCATCTGGTCACGACAAATCGCTGGAGATCATCAGTGTGGGGTATCAGGCTTGCTTTGGGTCATGTACAAACATGATATAATTTTCCCAGCGCAAACAAACTGGTTCGTTGTCGCTTGCAGCTTTGAACTCAATTTTCCCCTTAGGGAGAGTTGCATTGACTTCTTCCAACAAGGAAGCGTGTGTATTTCAGGCTCCCCTCTGCTGTTTTGCGAGTTCCAAAATAGAGAGCCAGTTCTGTTCCATTCATAGTCACAGCAGGATGGAGAGGCTCGGGACTGTGTTTTCACACACACCACTAGACAAAAGACAATACCCACCACCTTCTGCTCAATCTGGGCAGCAGTATTGAGTATATGAAAGCAGCACTGCTTGCTTAATCTTTTCACACTACACAAGTATGACCAGGCTTATCCAGAACTGAGATGATGAATTTTAAATGTAGATTGTTTTAATTAATGGGTTTTAGTTGATGTTGTGCATTGTTGATTTGTTGTTATTCCCCACCACATTCTATGAGGAGAAGTAGGTGGTGGTGGTAATTATGATGGTGATGATGATGATGATGATGATGGTTTCATTTTAACTACCATGACAACATCCTATAGAGTTCTGGGATTTGCTGTTGAAGGAGAGGTGCTTCAGATTCTCAGCCAGGGAACATACAACTACAAATCCCATGATTTTATAGGATGTTGCCACAGCAGTTAAAGTGCAACATAGCACTATAATTGTGTAATGTGAATGGGACCATGGTTAGAAAGGGAGAACAGCTGCTTCTAGAGTTAATTTGTTAGTGGAGTTGTGGTAGTTTCTTCTCCAGGATCATTTATCCATAAGCCTAGATACTATTGTTAGTCCCAATAAGAGGAGAGCTGCTGAATAGCATTTACCTATCTCTTGGCTCACTATTCAACAACTGATTCAGTGGGTCTACTCCAGTAGGGATAAACCAGTTGGGATTTGAGCCATAGACTTGAAAATGATCTTAAGGCGTATCTGCATTGCAGAAATAATGCAGTTTGACACCACTTTAACTGGGATCTGTAGATTTGTGAGGCACCAACACTTTTTGACAGAGAAGGCTAAAGGCCTTGTAAAACTACAAATGCCAGGGTTCCATAGGATGTAGCTGCAGTACTTAAAGTGGTGTTAAACTGCATTATTTCTATAGTGTAGATTCACTGCTAGTCATCATTTGCCCCTGCGGCCTTTTCACACTACCATTATAGTGCTATGAATCTTCTTCAACTGCCATGGCAGCAACCTACTGAATCTTGGGATTTGCTGTTTAAGGAGCAGTATTTTATCCTCCGAGCCTCAGAGGAAAGCAAAGACAAATCCCCTTTGAACAAATCTTGCCAAGAAAGCCCTAATGCAAGTTCCCCTTAGGGTTGCCATAAATTAGAAACAACTTGAAGGCACGCAACAACAGCAACAACAAATTTTCAGCCAGAGAACTCAAGTGCCTCATCAGACTACAAACCTCACAATTCCATAGGGTGCAGCCATGGCAATTAAAGTGGAATCATAGTGCTATAAATGTGTAGTGTAAACAGGCCACAGTACTTGTGACAAATTATATCCTAGCCTGTTTAAAAGGGGAGCATCAGGGACACCATAATCTTCTGGGAACAGTTTGCTCCACTCTAGATGAATTCTTGCCATTAGAAAGTTTCGTGTAATATTTAGTCAAAAGCAGAAGGGTTTGCACATCTAGTCCTCCTGTCTGGAGCAATAGATAACACATCTGCTCCATCTTCTGTGTGATAATTCTTTGCATATTTAAAGACTGCTATCATATCTCCTTTTAATCTTTGCTTCACCGGGCGAAACTCACGCACTTCTTTCAGTCATTGTTCATAGGATGAACCCCTCACTATTGTGGTTGAGTCTCTTTGCACGTACTCCATTTCATCAATGCCCTTCTAAAAATGTATTTCCAAGATTAGAAACAGTATTCCAGATGTAACCAAGCTAGAGAAAACTACTGTGGAAGTAGTATTTCTCATGATCTGAACCAAGATTTTTTTGTACTACAGTACCTAGGTTAGGGATTCTGGGAGTTGTAGTAAACATCCTGTTAGGTATTTGTTGTTGAGTGCCTTCAAGTCATTCCCGACCTATGGCAACCCTAAGGTGAACCTATCATGGGGTTTTTCTTGGCAAGATTTGTTCAGAGGAGGCTTGCCATTGCCTTCCCCTGAGTCTGGAAGCATATGACCTGCCCATGGCCACCCAGTGGGTTTCATTGCTGAGCTGGAAATCGAACCCTGGTCTCCAGAGTTGTAGTCCAACACTCAAAACACTGTGCCATCCTGGTTTTCCAAAGTTAGGTATTTGCATCATCATAAACTGACTACAGACACATAAAGGTGAATTGTAATGATGCTTAACATCTGTGTGCTCAGGAAGGGAGCAGAGACATGACTACATCCTTTGGGCCATTGCACAAGTAGACCCAACAGCATGCCCATTGTGTAATAGACATCATAGCACTATGGGTGCTGTTGTTCAACAGGAAAATGTAAGATTCCCCAATACATACCACTGCAATTAACTAGAAGTGTTGCATATCATGTCAAGGAATGTCATTGTCAAGTTATTTGTCATAGCCTCTGATATAGGATTTAAGTTTACATTTTTAAGCGCTGCTCTCAACACTAAACATCTAAAGCAGTGATTCCCAAATTCTGGCTTTCCAGGTGTTTTAGACTTCAGCTCCCAGAATCCCAGACTATTGACCAAGATGGCAGAGACTTCTGGGAGCTGAAATCCAAAACACCTGGAAAGCCAGAGTTTGGGAATCACTGATCTAAAGCAAGGGATGGAGAACAAAGGCCACATAAACTTGTTATGACTAATGGTGAAATATGATTTGCTCCTTTTTTCATTATTTCAAATGAAAATAGTGGACAGGGGTAAAATTCCATATTTAAAGGGTAGCAGTTGAATCAGTTTCTTGATGAGATTCATCCCTATATATGTGACTTGAGTGGGGCAAGGGAGCAACTCCTAGTTCCCATTTAAACCACTTCAGGATTAAAGCTTAGCTAGGGACAAGGAGAACTATTATAACAGCCATTGCAGAGAAATGGAAGATAACAAAAAAGGAAGAACAGGGGACCTCTTCCACAGGATCCAAGAATTGAAGGGAAATTTAAAGCAAGAACAGAGATGCTCTATGATAAGCAAGGGAACACATTACATGAGGAAATAAATATAAAAAGAAGATGGAAACAATACATGGAAGAACTATATAAAAGAAATGAAAGGATGAAAGTGCAAAGGCTGGTTTATAGTTGGACAGTAAAAAACAAAACATAAATAATGACCACAGATGATTTTCATAACTTTAAAGTAGATGATGAAGACATTTAACTAATTCAAGATTTTCCATACCTTGGTTGAGTCATTAATCAGAATGGAGACTGCAGTCAAGAAATCAGAAGAAAACTAGGATTTGGAAGGGCAATTATGAAGGAATTAGAAAAGATCCCAAAGTGTAAAGATATATCATTGAATAGTGACGTTAGAATTCTCCATGTCATTGTATTTCCCAAATGTATGTATAGTTGTGAAAACTGGACTGTGAAGAAAGCTGATAGGAAGAAAATCATTTGTACTGAGGTGTTGGATGAGAGTCTTATGGATACCATGGACTGCTAAAAAGAGAAATAAATGGGTCCTAGAGCAAAATCAAACTTGAACCAGAATTCAAGATGTCCCTAGAAACCAAGATGACTAAACTGAGACTGTTGTACTTTGATCATATCATCAGAAGGCTTGATTCATTAGAAAAGACAGTAATGTTTGGTAAGGTAGAAGGCAGTAGTAAAAGAGGAAGACGGTATTCTAGATGGATAGACTCAATCAAAGAAGCCATGGCCTTGAGTTTGCAAGAGATGAATAGGGCTGTTGGGGATAGGGTGACTTAGAGGTTTCTTATTCATTGTTAACAACAAAACAATAACAACCGAGCATAAATCAATGGCCAGATAGAAAATTACGTTGTTGTTGTTGTTGTTGTTGTTGTTGTTGTGTGCCTTCAACAAGTTATTTCCAACTTGTTGTTGTTTTTTAAAGATTTGTTTGGGGGGAGGGTGTCTTTGCCTCTCTCTGAGGCTGAGAGTGTGTGAATTGTCTACGGTCACCCAATAGGTTTCCATGACCTAGTGAGGATTCAAATCTTGGTCTCCAGAGTGGCAGTCCAGCACTGAAATCACTACACCACACTGGCCTTTTACAAGTATTAAAATGTATCAGCACTGTGGAAGGAGATTTTCCTCCCAAGCTGGTATGTGGAAGCTATTTGTTGAAAGTTATTTCAAATGTATTGCTATTTTTTTTGGGGGGGGGTTAAAATCTCAAATATTTTCTGTTACAACACACTTACATAAGTTGGCCAAATCTACAGAGGATGGCCCTTTATTTGGACTTATCATCTGTTTAAAGGGCTGTCCATTACAAAAGTGAAACATCTAGAAGGAGTAAATATTACTTTTGGCTGCTGTATTTGTTGTTGTAGTTCAGGGGTAGGCAACCTTTCCCCTTTAAGGGCCGAGGGACTTCAGCTCCCAGAAGCCTCAGCCATGTTGACCAATAGTTCCATGTTGGCCAATAGCTCCTGGAATTATGGGAGCTGAAGTCCCTCGGCCCTTAAAGGGGAAAGGTTGCCTACCCCTGTTGTAGTTATTAGGGTTTATGTGTGTGCACGCACATGTGTGCATGCATTTGTATGTTTCTATTTTCCCAGTGAATCCAATGACAAATCCCTGCACCAGCAGCAACATTTCATTCCCACTAAGATTCCCCCCCCCACACACACAATTAGGTCCTATTACATTGCAGCAAAACAAAAAATGGACTTGTATGGTTGAATAAGTATTGAGATTTATATAGGGTTCCTTGGCCATTCCTCTTCCCCACTGGATGGGAGGAGAGAGCAGAAGTAGTCCTTCATAGTAGCTTAAGATGCTTAAACACTGTTGCTTTCTAGCCATGCCCATTCAAGTCTCACAACATCCAGAACCAACAATGAGCAATGGAACAGAAGGGTTCTGAATGATGATTCAGCAAACAGCATACAATGTCATGATATTTGAATTAATATTGGTAAATTGCCTACAGTGTCATACAGCTTTTTCCCCTCCTTCCCTCTCCATCAGCTTCTACAGGGACTGGAAAGGCTCCAAGTGGATGCAAAAACAGCATAAAGGTACGCCAACCTGTAACAATCATGGTTCTCTGTTGCATAAACTCTTGCTTCTTTGGACTCATCTCGATTTGATTGATTGATTTTCTTTCTATTAGCTTTCTTCACTCTCCAGATCTCATATCCATACATGGTGAAGGGAAATATGATGACTTGAGGACTAAACAGACTGCCAGAAATAATCCAACTTGAGACCACTTTAACTGTCCTGACTCAATGCTAGGGAATCTGGGAATTGTAGTTTTTTCTGAGGCATTGAGCCTTCTCTGTCGGAGAGCTCTGGTGCCACAATAAACTACAGTTCCCATGATTTCTTAGCACTGAGCCAGGGCAGTTAAAGTGGTTTCAAGCTGGATTATTTCTGGCAGTCTGTTCAGGCCCTTGGACGATCCTAACTTTGGTATTCAGCTTGATATCTTTGCACTGTATGATCTTATCTAGTTCTTTGAAAGCTGCTTTCAAAGAACTTTCATAGTTCTTTCACTAGTGCCACAGTTGTGACTACATAGTCTTACTGAATGTGGACCAGTTGTGGATTCGTAACTTTAGGTTACAAATTGTTGGAAAAAATAATGCCTTGCATTCTCCTTTTCCTGTTTAGTTAGGCAAGACTTCACCCTTCTCCTCTCTCATTTTAACTGTCAGTCATAAGAGGCAGTTTAACTGACTCTCTGAACATTCCAAACTGCCAATAAACCATCAGTAACTGCAGTCAGCTGTCTGTCACAGTCCTCTCTGAGGGAATTCAAAGATATAGCCATGTTATCTGTAGAATCAGTATGTAGAGAGATCTTGTAGCACCTTTGAGACTCACTGAAAGAAAGAAATTGGCAGCATGAGCTTTCCTAGACCTCAGTCTAATTCAGGGGTGGGCAACCTTTCCCCTTTAAGGGCCGAGGGACTTCAGCTCCCAGAATCCCAGGAGCTATTGGCCAACATGGGACTATTGGCCAACATGGCTGAGGCTTCTGGGAGCTGAAGTCCCTCGGCCCTTGAAGGGGAAAGGTTGCCTACCCCTGGTCTAATTCTTCAGATGCATTTGGTGGAGTGGAGGCCAGGCACAGACATATATATTTGAGGGTGTCAGTTCAAATTACAAACCTATTTTTGCAAACCTCTCTCTGAGGGAGGTTAACATCTCTCTTCCTGCTTTGTAAACTCCAGTTAGATTAGGTTTTAGTTTGTTGTGTAAATATTTATCAAAACCATTATTGTTTGTTTTAAAACTACAAACTACATGTTTGTCTTTTAAAGTTAGTCTTTATTCTTTAGGAAGACTGATTTAAAGTATAAGTCTTATCCAAGTTTTTTGCTGCTTTGCTGATGAAAGTGAACTCTAACAAGTTTAACTTTCATGCCTGCATATTTTAGTTTACCTTTAAAAGGATTAACACCCTGAAAACTAAAATTGCAACCCACATTTTTGGGTTATGGGCCCAGAAGTGGTCCCAATTTAGACTCAGTGAGGTCTCAGAAGAGGTTCCAGATTATTTTAATCTGCTTCTCCTGAAGATATTGACTTCAAGAGAAAAAAATTCTACTCAAACAATAGAAAATGGCTTCAACTAATCCTAATTTTTCACAATGATTACTGAAATCTTAACTGGAACAAATGATAAAATGTGGTCATGGAAAATGCAAATGCACCTGATTACAATGGGTCTATTTAAAACAATAAATGGGCAGAGACCCACAGAAGCAGGAATACATCAATAACAATTTGATAAAAATGCAAAAAAAGCAGCAGCCTATATATGCTTATCTGTAGATCCCAGCATTGCTTACCATATACGAGGTTTAACTGATGCAAAACAAATAAGGGACAAACTGCAGAAAGTATTTATTTCTCCAAGTACTTCTAATCAAATAGCTCTCATGATCAAACTTGTTAACACCAAGTTGCATCATCTTCAATTTTTAAATCAGCATATTAATTGATTTATGACAACTTTTTCTGGAATTACATCAGCTGGAGAATCTTTTCCAGAATATGCAAAACTTGGACTGTTTTTGGCAAGTCTTCCAAAATATTACTCTCCAGTGATTAATGCTTTGCAAGTTAAAGGAGATGTTTCTTTGCAAGATGTAATTGCTCAAATTGTTGAATT